CGACAGCCCACATCAAACTGCTGAGTCATAAAGCTCCTTTTTTTCATTCCTATTTCCCCAAATTTCACCAATACACTTTATAAATCTTAAAATTTTTTTTATCAAAGAGTTATATCTTATTTAATTTTTGTTTCTCTGAAGACTATTGAAAGAGTACATTTTTATGTCTATTGAGCCTGAATATTTTTCTTTTGAAAATGGCTTACTTAGATTGTTTGCCCATTTAAAAGGCTGGGACTATTCATATATTTTTACTGATTCTAAAGAATTTTTAAAAACATATTAAAGATATTAACGTAATTATATGATAATATATTACAAATATCCATATTTCATTTTACAGGGTTTTAAAAATATATATTTTATTGATTATGCTATTACAGTTGTCCCATTTCCCCCCTTCACTCCCCTCCACCCTGTACACCCTCTCCCACCCACTCCCCCCCTTTAGTTCATGTCCATGTGTCATACTTATAAGTTCTTCAGCTTCTACATTTCTCATACTATTCTTACCCTCCCCCTGTTTATTTCCTACCTACAATCTATGCCACTTATTCTCTGTACCTTTTCCCCCTCTCTCCTCCTCCCACTCCCCTGTTGCTAGCCCTCCATGTGACCTCCATTTCTGTGGATCTGTTCCTGTTCTAGTTGTTTGCTTAGTTTCTTTTGGTTTTCCTTTAGGTGTGGTTGTTAATAATTGTGAGTTTGCTGTCCTTTTACTATACGTGTTTTTTTTTAAATCTTCTTTTCTTAGATAAGTCCCTTTAACATTTCATAAAATAAGAGCTTGGTGATGATGAACTCCTTTAACTTGACCTTATCTGAGAAGCACTTTATCTGCCCTTCCATTCTAAATGAAAGCTTTGCTGGATAGAGTAATCTGGGATATAGGTCCTTGTCTTTCATGACTTGGAATACTTCTTTCCAGCCCCTTCTTGCCTGTAAGGTCTCTTTTGAGAAATCAGCTGACAGTCTGATGGGAACTCCTTTGTAGATAACTGTTCCCTTATCTCTTGCTGCTTCTAGGATTCTCTCCTTCATTTTTACCTTGACTAATGTAATTATGATGTGCCTTGGTGTGTTTCTTCTTGGGTCCAACTTCTTTGGGACTTTCTGAGCTTCCTGGACTTCCTGGAAGTCTATTTCCTTTGCCAGATTGGGGAAGTTCTCCTTTATTATTTGTTCAAATACGTGTTCAATCTGTTGTTCTACCTCTTCCCCTTCTGGTACCCCTATAATTCGGATGTTGGAACATTTAAAGATGTCCTGGAGGTTCCTAAGCTTCTCCTTGTTTTTTTGAATTCTTATTTTTCCATTCTTTCCTGTTTAGTTGTTTCTTTCTTCCTTCTGGTGCACTCTATTGTTTTGAGTCCCAGTTTCCTTCCCATCACTATTGGTTCCCTGTGCATTTTCCTTCATTTCTTTTATGGTAACCTTCATTTGTTCATGTAATTTGCGCCCAAAATCAACCAATTTTGTGAGCTTCCTGATCACCAGTGTTTTGAACTGTGCATCTGATAGGTTAGCTATCTCTTAGTCACTCAGAAGGATGAGTCTGGGGCACCGATTTTTTCTTCCATTTGAGGCATCTCTCTCTCTCTCTTTTTTTTTTTTTTTTTGGTCTGGTTGCTCCTGTTATGGTGAGGGGCAGAGCCTTAGGTGTTCACCAGGGCTGGGCACCCCAGTCGCTAGATTGTGACATTGTATGTGAGGGTGGGGTCGAGAGAGAACAAGGGCAGTAGCTCCGTTCTCCGTGGGACCTCAGTCCCTTCCCTGGGATCCTTGATTGCACGCTCTGCCCTGCTCCACAATTGCTGCCTCACTGGGCCTGCCAGCTGCCGCTTGCATACTCAGGGTCCACCCGCTGCGATCTTGTGTGCCCCAGATGCCTTACGCGCTCCCGGCACCATGATCCTGCGCCCGGCTGCTTGTCTCCACCTCTCCTACTGATCTGGATAAACGGGTCTATTTCAACGTCTTTGCTGTGCGACTTCCATTCAGATAAATTTTCTATCAGTTCTGGCTGTTATTCTACCTCTAAATTGTTGTTGTTCCAATCTTGGTAGTGCCTGGAGGTATGGTGCGTCCACCTATGCCTCCATCTTGCCGGAAGTCCTCATTTTATAGGGTTTTATTATTGTACAGAAGTTCAACTTTTTATGGTCAAACATGTTGTCCTTTAAGATTTCTTCTTCCGATGTTACACAGTGTTGGACTCCTATGCACTGAGCTATATTAGTCCCATGATGACCAACAGTTATTTACTGGGAAAATTTAATAAATCTGACTCAGCATCTAAACCCACCCACTGTGACAAGTAATTGTACAAGGTTTCATCTATAATGGGAAAAAAACAGACATGTGCTACACAATTATTAAAGCATTTTGTGATTATATGAAATTATAGTAATATAATTTTATGAGGTTATGTGTATAGCTACCAAGGTGGCCCGAAAAAAATGATTTAGATTCTAATTACTCAAAGCTGCATGAGAACCAAAATGAAGATGGCACCTGAGGGGAAGTGGAAAGAGCATAAAATTGGGACTCAAAGAACCTGGATCCTAGTTCTAGCTCTACATTTCTGGGTCAGGTGTGATGTGCCCTGGACATTGCAGGGTCACACTTCCAGCTTTGCTCTTGGGTGAGCGCCTCGTGGGCTGGTGACAGGAAGGGTTAAATGCAGGGCATCACAGGGGAGGTGCTGTCAGGTTGCTGCTTGAGAATCTGGTTGCTGTTGCTGTCATAATGGCTGGGAGGAGAGAGATCACCCATAGTCCCATCATCCTAGCCTAACTAGCCCTGACCAGGTCTGGAAGAAAGTTTGCACTTTATGAGGAAGCTCTCATTTCTCTTGTTTTACAGAGGATCTGGCTTCTCAATGTGTATAATGACCCTGAGTCCCAAGTGACACATCCTCCTCTGACAGACCCCTGAGGCTACGTTTGAATTAGAGTAGATTTACTTTGTCTACAGAAGTGATGCAGTGCTGGCTAACCTCTCCCAATTTATCCCAATTCCAAAGTCAAGAGCCCTGAGGGACTGTGGCAGTTATTAATCTGTGATAGGCCTGAGATAGAATATAACATTTTGGACTTGAAAGGCATTTAGCAGTCATTTATTCCAACTTTTTACTCCTAGGTCTGTGAATATAGCTCTTATTATTATCGGTTATTTTAATTATTTCATTAAATTGACTTGTCTCTGTTTCCCTTAAAGTATATCCCTAGTTTTAATATATTGTAGTGTCATGTTTTGTCCATACATTAATTTTCCCCAATTACATTTGAAAAATGTCAAACCCACAGAGAAATGAGAAAAATGGCACAACGACCTGTATGCTCTTCACCTGGATTTATCAGCTGTTGACATATGGCCGCGTTCGCTTTCTCTCTCCACGTCTCCACATTCTCCATAAACATGCACACATATTTTATGAGAAGAAGTTGCAGACCTCCTGCTACCTCACCCTTAAATACTTCAACCAACATATATCCTCCACAAATTAGGACATTCTCCATAGCTTTCCAGTGGATGTGCTGTTTTGCACTCCCACCTGCCATGTTTGGGAGTTCCAGTTTCCACCCTTGCCAGCTCTTGCTCTCCTCAGCCTTTTGCGATGTTAGGTATTCTAGTGCGTGTGCACAAGTACCTCACTGTGGTTTTCACGTGCATTTGCCTGATGGACAATTATTTGAACACCTTTTCAGAGGCATTCTGGAGAACCTCTTTAGCAAAATGCCTCTTTTAGTCTCTTGCCCATTTAAAAACTAAATTGTTTGTATTTTTCTCATTGATTTGTGGAAAGTCTTTATATTCTGGATCTGTGTTTCTCCCAGATAAATGTAAAACAGAAAGGCATTTAAATGAACTTATTTCATGTGTTGGGATAGTGTCCAACCTCACCTCTTTTCAAGAAAGGAATATAGTCCAGTGTTAGTACAGAGAGTCATTCTGCCTGTGCAGAAAAGAGATAGTGTTTTATTTAAATTTTTTTTTCAGTAACTAAAATAAAGGAAACAGTTGGACAAGTGAAATGATAGCCCCACAAGTATTTACCCTTTTTGCATAACTAGACTTCCTTTTCGGGCAACTGGACCTTTATATAGACCTCTTTGTGTTTTCAGATAAGCAGCAGGATCTGCTGCAAACTGGATGATTATTCTGTTTGTGGCAGTCATGGCAGGGTGACCTCATGGGTCCCAAGAGGCAAAGCACCCTATTTTCTTCCTTTTCCAAAACTCTCCCAAAATATAGACAAGAGAGACTTCCTTGAGCCAGCCAGAATGGCTCTTTATTGCTACAGGGGCAGTTGACATTAACCCAAACTGACAACTTTTCAGTGAGGATTTTCCTAAAAGCTCCACAGACATGAACAGCAGTGCTCTGGCTTTACCGACAGTTTTGCAAAGGGTTTTCATACAGCTTAGCCATCCCGCATGCAAGCTGCTGTCTGAGTTTCTTCTTGACACTCACATTGAGAGAAAAACTGATTAGACCACAGGATGGACGTAACTGCAGCTAGCACACCACCATTTCTGGCCTCCACACCTGTGGTAAACACAGCCATTGGGACATGCCACTTTTCCAGTGAGTCCTGTCAGGCATTCCTAATATTCAGTGGAGTTGACACTTGAGATAGAATCTATTTGCCATCCCTGAGTGGAACTGGACACGATGGACAGGGTTGGGAACAGAAAATAGGCCCCTGAAGGCTGAGAAGAATAGAGGTTCATACTTGATTCCCTTAGTAATGACCCATGAGAAGCTTATGGGCTAATTATAGATGTGCATACAGTTTATCTTAAGTTTTTTTAAAGTTCCAAAAGATTGGCAGTCTTCTCCTCCCTTGAAGGCTGCTTTCCCAGCACCCTGGTCACACAAACATGAGTCACCTGTGTCCACAATGGCCAACACGAAGCCATTTACCCAGTCCTGCACCACCTATAGAATAGTTTTAGAAAACATTGTTTCATGGCTCTTTTTTTTTCTCATTACAGGGGAGTATGTTCAACACCTGGAAACCCATGTGGGTTGTACTGTTAGAGGACGGAATTGAATTCTATAAGAAGAAAAGTGACAACAGCCCCAAAGGAATGATTCCCCTGAAAGGAAGCACTCTGACCAGCCCTTGTCAGGACTTCGGCAAAAGGATGGTGAGCTGTCATTACTAGTCACAGTGAATGTTTTGTCAGATGCTGACCTTGGGCCTGTGAAGAGCCTACGATATGGTGGTGGCTAGTCCCCCTCCCATCACCCACACTCCACCCTGCCGTGTTTCATAAGGGGCCTTGGGCCCTTGAAAATAATTATTCCTAATGGATGTGTTTTGATTTTCAGTTTGTGTTTAAGATCACTACGACCAAACAGCAGGACCACTTCTTCCAGGCAGCCTTCCTGGAAGAGAGAGATGGCTGGGTTCGGGACATCAAGAAGGCCATTAAGTGCCTTGAAGGAGGCCAGAAGTTTGCAAGGAAATCCACCAGGAGATCTATTCGACTGCCAGAAACCATTGACTTAGGGTGATTTTCTGTGTTTGCTTCCTTTCACCCCTTCCTTTTTTCCCCTTTGAGGAACTCTCATAACGGGGACTGTTCCAAGGCTTGCTTTAGTCACCTCCAAAGGCTGTTTTCACTCTTCCAGGTGGACTAAAATGTTCACCTGCATCGGAAGGAGTGATCATGGCTTCTCCAAGGCCTCACAACCGAGGAGAGAAAGCCAGTGGAGAGTACATTCCTCATTTTGGATAACCTTGGCAGAGAGAGAGAAAGAGAGCCAGAGAGAAAGAATTTATTGCATTTATGAAGTAGCCATAATAAGCCTTGAAAGAAAGCCTAGTCTTGAAAGAAAGCTTCAAGATCTCTAGGAAGGGAGGAAAAGACAGATGCTATGCATCCAAGTATGAGAGGTTTCAAGTTCAGGTGCACACATTCGCACTGTCAGCAAGGACCAGCCAAGCCGATCACCCATCTTAGGCAGAAGCCATTTGTGCCCTGACCTGGTTTAATGTCCTCTGACATTGACTGGCTTGGAACTGAAGGTGATGGTTGTTGTCTAAAGGCTGTTGGAGGTTCACAGGTAAACTCAGCCCCTGCCAGGGGTTGGGAACAGGGCTCCTTCCTTTCTTCCTGCACATTTCATATCTTCAATCACATGAGTCCCCCCGCCCTTTTTTTTCTGGGATTCTTGTTGCTTCCTGATACTTTTGCATTTATGTCGAGTATAACCTGAAATAGGAGCCCAGTTGGAAAGAATTCCATTGGCTGCTAAAAATTTTCAGTAAGTGTTCTGTTTACACAATGAGACCCTGAGAGGGACTGAAGATAAGTCCTTTCTACAATCTAACACAAGAATTGCACGTCACAGGAGCATGACAAAGTTTGCACACTGAGCTTGGTGAGACTGAGCACCTTCTCCCACCAGGAAAGCTTTTTGGTAAAGACCCAGGAGGAGGCACCTGGTCTAGCTGCAGCTGCTGGCTGGGGTTGTCAAGTGACCACACTTCTGGTCATGGCTGTCAGAGCTGAGTGGGAATGATGTTCATGCTACATGGAACCACTCGATACATGGAAGTGCCCTTCTGTTTAGTTGCTTGCAGTTTCTCTGATCAGGCTATCTTCAGTTTATTACTTCAAGGACAAAAATGGGAACTTCTCACGATTGTGCCTTGTCTCATAATTATTAGAATAAGAGACAGGCTTAGTTAAAACATTCGCTTTCCTAGAGGTGAATGTCTACTCTAGATGGTCCCTTGACGGACACTTAAAGAACTGGAACAGGGGAATTGGGGGACATCAAAAACCTAGAGTGTGTATGGGCAATTGGACCTGAGAACCTTTAATCTTTGCCACCTGTCTGGGGGTAGCTCTCTATCTCGGGTGTTAGGTATTAAATCAACAGAGAGCTTAATGAATTTCAGAAATAATTATTACCTTCCTAGTACATTTTGTTGAATGCTGTGCAGGCCACAGAGTTATGTAAGTACCAGCTCTGCCCTTTAACTACTTGTGATCTAGTGGGGAGATTAGAGCAGGGGCCCCAGGGGAAGGGGGAAGCTTATGCTCCCGGCCAGCCTCTCCAAGGCCGACGCCCGGAGAGGACTTGCCATTCTGTAACACTCCCACTCATCTGTCTGTTTTTGTCTCTGTGCAGTGCTATGTATTTGTCCATGAAAGACCCAGAAAAAGGAATAAAAGAACTGAACCTAGAGAAGGACAAGAAGATTTTTAATCACTGCTTCACAGGTAAAAGGCCTTGCAAGTCTGGAAGGGGGGCAGCTGGGGAAGGCAATACAAAGTTCCTGCTCAGCCTTATGCATGCGGTAGGGGTGTGGGGAGCATGCTGGGGGGATGGCGTCAAAAGACAAAGACTGGTGAACATGAGAATTGAACTTCCCCAGTGTGGACGCACAAAGAAGGGTAGAAAAGAACTTTGTTGTCCAAGATATAGTTTTGGAAAGTCCAGCTCTATCAATCAAAGGGTCATTTTTTTCTCCCAATAAATGGTGTTATGTTAAAACAGACACAGAGTTGAATAAAATGATAAACAGGAAGTAATATAATATTATGTTATAATATATTACATTATAATATAAGATAAGATTTAAGAGACAATATTGAGGATGTCTCAGGCTGCACAGGGTCGGGCATTAAATGTTATGTGTTTAGGTAGATGCTGCAGTGGTTACAGACATGTTCCTTGGAGCCAGACTGCCTTTGTTCAAATCCTGGCTCTGCAGCTTGCTGTAAAACCTCAGGCCAATCAATAACTTAGCCTCTTTGTGCTTCACTTTCCTTGCTTATAAAATGGGAATAAACATCTACTTTACCGATTTGCTGTAATGTGCTAAAAACAGTGTCCAGCACACACTAAGCACTGTAGTGAGCCAGCTCTCAAAGCGGTTTACATGAAAGAGATCATGATTCTGCAAAGACGATCAATTCTGCGAGTTCAGGAAAAAGAAAGAGTTCATTGGGTTGTTGGGATGAATAGAAGATGGAGCCTAAGTCTGACCTTAAAAGATGGATAGAATTTCAATAAGTATTTGTGGGAAGAAATTCTGTTGAGGTGGTTGAGCAGAGGATGGTGAGTTCAAAGTTGTGGAGAAAAAATACGAAGAACGTGCATCTGTAAAAGAAAATGACCCCCTTGGTAGTGCTGATGGTTCATTAGGGGACAAAATAGGATGTACAGTTGGGCCTAGGTTTGTCTGAGGGCAAGCATGGCTGACCTAGGATGGAGCCATCAAAGGAGGAGAACTCTGAGAAGAGGCAACAGCTGTAGAATCCAGTGGACAGATAATTCATGCAAATGGTCCAGGTCAAGATCAGGAAGCTGGAGAGTGAGACGGTGTGACAGGGTAGTATCCCACAGGAATTCAGTCTCCTGGAGTAAAGGCAGGAGCCCATTAACATTGGAAAAGCCAGCTAAGATTTGGGCCCAGTACCAAGCCTGGGTAGTGGTAATGGAAACTGACAGGAGCAGGGCCCTAACTCTGGCAGGACTGAGGTCACCACGACAGAGCCTCGGACAAAGGGAACAAGGTGGAGAGTAGGGATGGGGTTATGGATGTAGATCTAGGCACAAGGTCCAGGCCAGGCCTGTTTCCTGTGTGACCTGTTACTGCGTCCTATAGTACTGGGCTAGAACTTCCTAAGTCCTCCCGATTGAATGTCAGGTGGGTTCTAGAAATTCAAGGGTGGGGGGAGTTAAGCCTTCATGTAGGAGTCAGGTGTTCTCAGCAGCGATCCAAGTCTGTAGCAGAGACTGGGACCCAGGCACTCCTGATATGTGATAGAAAACCTTGAATGTCAGGTGACAGGGAGAGTAGACTGAACTTGTCTTCCAAGCCTCTGCATGCCTAGCTGAACAAGGGTGGAATCTGGGGTTAGAACACTTAAGTGAAGGCCCATTGAAGGTGTAACTCAGGTCTAAGGTCACTCAAATTCTCTCAGCCTTAATATTCTCATCTGTAAAATGTGGTCTGCAATTGTTGCCTTACCTCTTTTACAGGGTCTCTGTGAACATTAAAAACAGAAATTCAGTATTCATTAGCTTATCCCTCTAAAGAAAGAAAAGGAGACAAAAGTCTTTCATATACAAAATTCATGGGAGGCTCACTAACCGACTGCTCTCACTCCTGTTTCAAGGATGGCATACTCTACCACTCTCTGTGGGATGACTCGGGACTTGCTGCCTGTGCTGTGGGCTCTCTGGTTGGCAACATTTGTAAAGAACATGTCATTTTTAATACAAAGCTTCACTGTAGCCTGCTAATAAGTAACCCAATTCATGGATTAAGTTCATTTTATTCTCTTTGCAATCCTCTCTGGAGGGAGAAGGTTGATTAAATGACTCTTCAAGGTCCCTGCTACCTTGCAAAAATGGTGTGACATTCAGTGCAAGTGTTATCATCAGATTTTAATTTAGGACATACACATCTGACCAAGTTATTTCCTGCTTAAAAACTTGCAGTGGCTCCTCGTTGCCAAATTATTTGATGTGCCATCAAAGGTCTCCCCTGACTCTGTGCCTTCCTCTTTCTATTGTCTCCTTTTGCCTTTTCTCCATCAACTCCGTCTCTTAGATCCCCAGCAAGGCTGCTTCATGCTTGTGTGAGTCTGTTCACCCTGCTGCTCCCTCAGCCTGTGCTGGTTCCTCTCCGCCCCTGCCTTTCAAGCTTGGCCAACATCTACTGTTTTCAAAGCCTGGGCCCAATGTCACTTCCTCTATTAAGTTTTTCCCAACAGTGCATGCACAGCCGATTTGCCCCACCCACCCCATCTGAACCTTCCTGCAGATTTGACCCAGTAGCTCCACTGAATTGACCCACAGCACAGTAGTTGTTACAATTACTTACCACCCACCTCTCCACTATTGATTACTCAAGTGGGTCTCCCTAAAACCCATCCCAGTACTTAGCACCTACGAGATGCACAGTAAATGTTTGTGTGTTAATAGAATGAATGAGCAGGTTGGTAAGAACTATTTCTTTGATGATGCATTGCTTCTTAAAGAACATGTAGATTTAAGGAGAAAAGAAAAACATAAACCCTTTACGTGGTTCCTTTGTTTCCAGGTGTCCACGACACTGATTCTGTTTTTCCTTCTTGGAGTCAGACAAATCAGACACGTGGGTGCTCTGGAGCTTTCCAGAGGTGACTGCCAGTGTTTGTTCTTTGGTTAGGATAGTTGACCTTCCCTCTGATGGTTCCATGCAGGTAACTGTGTCATCGACTGGCTGGTTTCCAACCAGTCTGTGCGGAATCGCCAGGAAGGCCTCATGATCGCCTCCTCGCTGCTCAACGAAGGGTACCTGCAGCCTGCTGGAGACCTGTCCAAGACCGCGGTGGATGGCACTGCCGAAAACCCTTTCCTGGACAACCCTGACGCCTTCTACTACTTTGTAAGTGAGAAAGCTACCTAGCTGCTCTTCCTGCAATGGAGATTGCTCTGGGCAGATTCTGGGTTGATTCCCGTTTATGTCCACATATGTGAAGGAAAGGCCCAGCCCTCTACCAAGAGTTGTTAGATGTTTTTGACTTGGGAGCTGCCCCAACTCAATGCCTGCCACATCCAAGTGGTTCCGTTTAGAGGAAAATATTGTTTACTGGAATAGTTTTCTTTAAAAGGACTTTTAAAACTTTACTATATCTATTCTTATTCTAAGCAATAATTCATTTATAAAAACTGATTAGGCCCTAGCACATGCTGAGCACTCTCTGAGACAGAGGAGATAACAGCAGTAAAATCGCAGCCTTCAGGGAGCTTCCTTCCCTGAGAGAGATCCATAAAATCACAATATGCTTATTGTATCTTTCCAAATATACATTGAAATATGCAACTTAATACAAAAAGCATGCACCCGCATTTCCTTTCCCCATCATCTTGTCACCGCCTGTGGTAGGCTTGCTTGCCACAGATTGGGAAACACTGTATTACACAGTCTGGACCTAACCTTGGGCCATGTGGCAAATCCTGCAACAGTGGATTTCTAGGGGGATTTTGGTAGTTTTATTTTTATTGGGGATCAGAGCACAGAAGTTAGGAAGTTACTTAAGAGCCCTTTACAAAAATTATGTGAATGTCCCAGAGACAGTTTCATTTCACTTTGGGGGAACTTCCGCTGTCAGTATGCATATTTTTCAGACCTTTAATTTGGCTGTTTATAGCCACTTAAGTGTGGGATTCCAAAAATACCCATCACAGTGGCTCCTCTTCCTCTGTGTGATTCATTGCTTGCTTATAGCTGAGCAAGTCCCCAGTTCCCTGCTGACCTCAGAGAATGAGGCTGAGCACCAGCTCTTGGTCTTCTCAAAGTAGAAGGGGCTGAGTGGCAGAGGTCATGATGGAGATCTTGTTATTCAGTGTATTATAAGTTAGCCAACTCTACTTTCAAGGATGCAGCCCTGGGGTCCCGAGAAAAGGAAGGCTTTGAAGAAAGAAATGTGCTGAGCTAGACTTAAAATACAGGGTGGGGAAAAAGTAGGTTTATAGTCATTCCTATGGAAATTAACACAATAATTAATAATATTGATAATACAAGAAAAAATTCTGGCAAACACAATATAATGTATAGATGATGTATTATAGAACTGTACACTTGAAACCTATGTAATTTTATTAACCAAGGTCACCTCAATGAATTCAATTAAAAAAAGAGTAAACTTGTGTTTTGTGTACTCCACCTTGCGTGGCTTGGGGAACCCCAAAAATGAAGTGATATCAACAAGATCACAGGAGTGAAAACTAGAGAGGACAAACCATTTAGAAGCAAGATGAGGTGGGAGGAAAAATGAGATGACCAAGGGCAGCCTTTAAAGTTCAAATTGGGGTACGAACCACAGAAGGAGGAGAAGGAAGAACCTACCCCAGTGCCTGGAAGTTGGGGGAGGAGAGGGGTTGGGGTTGTGCTGGTGAAGAGGGTACAAGTAGCAACACACCTAAGACTGGTCTAATAAACTTGCTATTTTGTTTCCCAATAGCCAGACAGCGGCTTCTTCTGTGAAGAGAATTCCAGTGATGACGACATCATTCTGAAAGAAGAATTCAGAGGGGTCATTATCAAGCAGGGATGTTTACTGAAGCAGGTGAGTGACCACCACTATCCTTTTCTAGCCTTTCCCTCTCACCTGGTCCTTTTTCTTTCTAAACCACCAAGTGGTATTTTATTTGGCTCATAGTCAGCTAGTACATGAAACCCACAGAATGAAAGGTAGACAAATAGCTAAGGAGATGATCAAAGTGGCATTGGTCAGGAGAACTGAAGCACGCAGGCAGAAGATGCACCTTGAAAAAAGGAAACTCCTTTTTTATCAATAGCATGTGAAAAAGAGGTGTTTAAAGAAAAATATTGACCTTTTAATTAGCTGGAGGAAATCAATTGGCTAAGAGATGCCATTTAAAAGACAGACATGTTTCATAATAAAAGTACTTCCATTTGCTTATCCCCCTCTTCTCTACAAAGTAACTGGGAAACAGTTATAAGCCACACCTAGAAGAGGAACTTCATATGTTATGAGAACAAGAAAAGGGCCAGTCCAGCCTGTGGGTAGGACATAGTGAGACCAAATCCAGGGCATGTCTGAGGCCAACTCTGCAAGAGCAGCAGCAGACAAAGGTCAAATCTAGTTGGGGAGCACAGACTGAGTCCTGGGGGAAGTCATGTGCAGTTACCGAGTGTCCACAGGTATAGGTTACTGTTAGTCTGGGATGCAAGAGTTGGGGTGAGTGGAAGAGCTATAGTTAGTTACCAGGTGCCAAGGCGTGAGATACCAAGGGGTAACACAGAGAGTGTGAGTGCTAGGGCTGAGGGAGAAAGTCAAGGCCAGCACCTAGTAAAGGCAGAAGCAATAGGAAGACAAGGGAGTGTTCAGGGCGAAATAATCTGATTCCAGCGCATCTGCTGCTGTATGAAGCAAGGTTGTGCCTTTCTGGTTGTTCTGTGAGTTGTCTTAAAGGCACTGCTCAGTTTATAACAGGGAGAATCTTGTTGCTGTAAAGAGAGTTTTGTGCACTGTCTATAGACCCCATGGGACTGAGATTTGACTCATCTCATAAAGGGACACTGAATCTTCAGGGCAAAGAGAGGAGAACCAGTGTTGAACATATATTTACATTAAAAAAAAGGAATTTGAGCTAATTGAGATTAGGTGCAGATATGGATTTCGAGTTTCACCATGGCAAGTGGGGAATTAGTGTGTTAAACTCACCTTATATCAGGGTCCTAAGAAATAGTACAGCAAGAGTTTGGAAAGAATTCACAGACAATTCTCATAAGTTCCACGACAGAGTGACCAGTGACTAGATTAAAGGAGAGTCATAGGAGCGAGGCCAGCCTTACGTAGGGAAGACGGACAGAGTTTGCCTGCCACCGGCTTCTTCTTTGGTTCTGCCAGACACTCCTACCTTCCTGGATCTTTGATTACAGGTGCTCGGAGGTGGCCATTAAGGCAAGAGTAACTTGGGAGGGAATTTCATTATTTTCTTTTTTTAAAAGATTTTATTTATTCATTTTTAGAAGGGAGAGGAAGAGAAAGAGAAAGAGAGGGGGAGAAACATCACTGTGTGGTTGCTTCTCAAGCACCCTGTATCAGGGACCTGGCCCACAATCCAGGCATGTGCCCTAACTGGGAATCAAACTAGTGACCCTTTGGTTCGCAGCCCATGCTGAATCCACTGAGCTGCATCAGTCAGGGCTCATTATTTTCTTATGTTGATGATTCCTTCCGTAATTCTATATTGTTATTAGCCATTAGTACCTTTTCTTGAAGTAGCTGATCTGACAAGCTCTAGTCTAAAGAAGAGCGCTGAGAAAACTGAACATGAAGGGTGAAAGGGGGTGAACAAAGACTGAGCTGGATAGGTGTCATCTGGGTAGAGCACCCCAGTGGAGACCCTGGGTGGTCAAAAACTGGCTGAGGATAGTGGGTGCCTGTGTGTGTGTTAAGGACAGTGGGGACTAGAAGTAGGCCTGCTTCCCTGTTTTCCCTCACCTCCCTTCGCTTGGCCTTGGATAGCTACAGTTTAGCCTTAGCTAGCCCAGCTGGCGCACACTGTAATCCTCTAGGGACCTGTCAGCATGCCAGGCCAATACAATTGAGCCTCTGGATTTTATAGTTCCCCATGGGTGTGTGGCCAGGGCTGAGAACCACAGAGCTGGCTTTTTTCTTAACGGCTAATTTACCCTATTACCAAATGCTACTGTACAAATAGTCTTCCTTATAAACCTCCTTTAAACATGAAGAAAACAGCAATCTGTGTGCATTCAGGAATTTTGTTCTCTTACAATATTTTTTTCCTCTTTTTTAGGGGGACTGGGGGAAGGAACAAAAACCTCTTTTATTTGAATTGACAGCCCTCTTTAATATTTCCAATCTCTTAGTCCAGTGGTTTATAACCCTGGTTCATATCAGAGTCATCTGAGGGAATTTTTAAAAATGCCTTTTTTTTAAAGATTTTATTTATTTATTTTTAGGGAGGGAAGGGAGGAGGAGAGAGAGAGAGAGAGACATCAATGTGCGGTTGCTGGGGTTTATGGCCTGCAACCCAGGAATGTACCCTAGCTGGGAATCGAACCTGGGACACTTTGGTTCCCAGCCCGCGCTCAATCCACTGAGCTACACCAGCCAGGGTAAAAATGCCTTTTTTAAGTGCCATAAAAACTAAGCCACCCTGGGTCTAGTGCCGGGAGTTAGCCCAAGTTAACCTGCATGGACTGCTTGTAATGAAAAATGGCACCTGTGTTCCACACTTTAGATGGTGAAGTGGCTGTGCCCAGCTGGAGGTCAGGCCCCTCCCCACCCTGCCTTTCCCTCCCCACTTCTCCCATCCCATAGGAAATAATTCTATTTGGGGGAACGTAACCAATTTGAGGATGAATGAAATTGGATTATATTCAATATAATTCTTTTTAATATAATTTATTCTGTTGTCACAAAACATAAAATATCTGGCTTCTCAACCAATATAGATTCTTTGATGAGGAAGGACAATGTGTTACACTTTTTTTTTTCTCATATCTGTTAAAAAGTTCAGCATCCTTCTTGGTCTATAATAGGCAATAAACATTTGTAGAATGAATTCAATCAAATATAAGCAGATGACTTGGACAGATCAGCAACAGTCTGTGGCACCCCCAGACATACATGCCTTCCTTAAAATCCCTCAGGAAATACTCATTAGATGAGAGGTGGCCAGCCAGATCTCCACTTACTAACATCGAACTCTCCAGCATGTCACATTGTAATGCTAGTGAGGGCTGCAAGGGAACGTGGTGGTTGGCTAGGGCTGGCAGATTTCACAGCTTCCATTACCTTCCTCATCCTCTGACCCCTGAAAACTTGGGATTCACCCAGTAATTCCACGGGAGGACACGCTATGTACATCTGCAGGTCCAGATGAAACAGTATGGACAGAAACTTCAGGGTCCATGTTTTATAGGCAGCATTGGCTAAGGCAAAGAGCAGACATTCTTACGGAGAATTTTGGAAGCCGATGCTTTGCAAAAACCGTTCTGGACACAACATAGCAGATAGAAATATTCTGGGTTCTCCCTTATGACTACACAGGGTTCCTAGATTCATTCAACCTCAGGCAAGTGAAAGACTTGAGATGAGCTCCTTGATAAAACGACTGGGCAAGTAACTCAGACCCATTCCAGAAGACTCCCTTTAAACTCCTCTGACCAGAATTATAAAGGAGGGACTGCTGAAATTATAAGGGTTTTCTTGCTTTCTACACGAGCACAATGAAAAATGTTGGAAAAGTTATTTATGTGCCTATCAATATGTGGCATGTTAAAGAACAAAATTCTTTGTATTGGCAAGATAGAAACTATATATCTTTTAATCTAATAACTTTTTTGCCTTCTGAGTTATTTAAGTCACTCAAATTTCTGTTGGAAGTCATACACTCAGGTTGACTGTGACATTTTAAAAAACTGCTATAAGCTAATTGAAAGGACTGTGTAAATTCAAGGCAATTGCAAAGAGATATGGAGCAGCTTCCATGAGCCAGGCACAGCGCTGGCAGGCATTGGAGGACCAAAGACAAATCTTGCCCTCAAAACCCACAGTCTAAACAGTGTCAGTGTTTAATTCTGTTAGAAAATGCCAAGTCCTTTCTTCCCCATCATGTCTGGCACAACGAGCACTCCTTCTCATTTCCTTTGATGCTGCCTGATGTTAGTCCCTGATAATGTGATTCCTGAATCATTGCAACAATTTCCTAATGACCTCTTTTTATCTTATTATCTTGCCCCTGGCTTATCTTTTATCTAGCAAGCTGGTTCATTCGGTTTGTTATCACCACATTAACCGCTTCACTTCCAGCTCAACTACAACCCCACCTTTTATTTTTACTGAGTCTCTTTCTGCTTCTCCAACCTTGACTCAACTATTTCTTATGACCCCTGCCTTTTAGTCAGATTGCTCTTATTAATAAACATCTGAATGTGCCTCGTGCATTCCCACTGCTTTTTTGTTGTCAGTGGTCTCTCCCCTACCTCTTTGTCACTCGTGGATAAGTGTAGGTCTTTGCAAGACTTTCTTCGACATCCAAACCCAGAATCACATACCTCTCTTTTAGTTTTTTTGAAATCCATCGTCTTCTATAACAATTATTTGATTTGGATATTTGCTATTGAAGTTTTATACCTAGGCTATAAACTCTATGAAGAATAAGGCCATGTCTTAAGTCTTGTTATAGCCACCACATTACCTAACAAAGTACATTGTATATACATAGTACTATCTTGTGTAATACCAAGTTGGAAGACATCTTAGAAATAATTTAATCCATAGTTTAATAATATCTAAATTGTTCATAGGATACAGTGCTATCTCTCTGACAAAGATCTGGGCTAGGGCCTGGTTTTTCTGGAATTAGCATTTCAACTATTTTCCCTTTTTTTAATTCAGATTTATTTTTTGGTACTGTGTGTACGGAGTGATGCTAAGAACTCTTCATTCTTTTCTTATGTTGCTCTTGGATATAGGGGCATAGGAGGAAAAACTGGAAAGTGAGGAAGTTCATTCTGAGAGAAGACCCTGCATATCTGCACTACTACGACCCTGCTGGGGTGAGATCCTCTGGTCAATAAATCCATTCTTCTAGAAGCCTCCACTGCATCTATCCATAGGGCTTCCATCCCCTTCTCTGCCCTGTGGATGTGCCCTTTTTCTCTTCACCCTCTCACTTTTATTTCTCCCTCCCTTCTCTACCTTTTCCTACCTCCTCTTATTGCAAAGATTTGAGATTTTAGGCCTCAGGTCAGCATAAGCTCAGGGATGGAAAAAAATATCATTAAATTGTCATTTATTTGTCAACTCAACATAAATTTTTTTTGTTTGCCCCTATGTAACATTTTCAGAGGGACCCAATCAGTTCAACATTTTGCTCCTGGTTTAATGTGCAAAAAAGTGATACTTTCTCTTCCAGGCCAACTTGGATGAAAGCAGTGTTTAAATCCAGCCATTTAGACTGTTGAGTATTCAGAAGGGGGCTTTTCTTCAATAAACTGAGGCACCTCTAAAGCATAAAGACAACACCATCTGGGTTGGGTTCTCAGCCTCTGTTTGCAGTGAAGGGCTCTTTGATTCCCTCCCGTGTGGAATAGTTGCATGGGGCCAAAGAGCTGTGGAAACACACTCGTCTTCTCTTATGGGATGTGATGATTCAGCCCTTCCACCTTCCTTCCCACTTTCCTCTAGATATGAAGCTCAGATTGACTTATGTTTCTTCATTCTGCCTCCCTGGGTGAGGGGGTGGAGGATCTGGATGGGGTTTCTTTTAAGCTCCTTTTGCTTTTATCTATTTTGGGGGCCCTGATCTATACCAGAGCGAGTCTGTGGGGCTTTGGTACCAACAAGATAAGGTGTATCTGTACATTGTTCTTTGGAAACATAATGAAGGACTCCTCTCTCCCCTAGGGGGAAGATCCCCTGGGAGCAATTCATTTGAGAGGCTGTGTGGTGACTTCAGTGGAAAGCAACCCAGATGGTAAGAATGAAGTTTTGTCTGAGAGAGGTGTGTCTATTTAGGAAGGGTCCCACACATGGGCATCCTGAGCCAACAGCTGTCAATCATTCCATTGATCAAGCATAAGCATGAATGAATCGCTGTCTGAAAACCTACTGTTTCCCTACTGCTGTGCTAGCTCTTTGGGCCTTGAGGAGTTGGAGAGATTTTGTGAATGCCTTGAGTAAATCTTCAAGCAATGCTGAGAAAAATCCTTCACATTAGAACTGGCTTAAATGGAGAAACTTGTTACCTCCTGTTGCCCAAAACTGGCCCATGACATTCCATAATGGGAGGCTTTTACAGACCAGAAACTTTCTCACAAAAAAAGAAACAGTTGTGCAGTGAGTGGAGGGTATACCTGGGTTATTATAGTCAGGTCCATGCTAGTCAATTAGCAGCAGGGCCTTCGGTGAATCACCTAACTAACCTGGGTCTTAGTTCCTCCTCTGAGAATGAGGGACTTGCACCAGATGACCTCCGGGTCCCCGACCACAAGTCTGTGATTTGGTGTATGCGATAAGCATGGTGGTGTAGAGCTACTTCTCAGGAGCTGGCACGGTGGTATCACTGTGCAGATGTGGTTTAGACATCCAAATTCTGGTTTTGCCTTGGCATTTTGGGTTTATGGTGTTCTAAAGACTGATGGGAAAACACGGCAGCTGCAAAAGCCTAGATTTTCTTTTCTGACTGCCCCTGATCTGCTCACTCCCCTCTCCCCATAGAGTCCTGTTTTAGTTTGGGGGTAGGGAGCATCTTGCTTTTTGATTCGAGGTGGATATTTTAAGTCTTGTCATAGTATTAGCCAGGTTACTGCATTCACTGTTTTAGCAGAGGCTCTAACTTGGCCTTTGATAAAACAAGTTCAGGCTCTACTGCTGGTACTGGTGGTGGGCCTGGCTATTTATTTACTTATAAATTTCAAAAACTATGTTAGGGTCAGCCCTTCATTTGTATTATGAGTAGAGGAATTACGCACTAGACACTATTAGAGGCCACTCACTGAACACTATTGGTACGCAAAAGTGAGACATTTAGTTTGTTTGTAAACTCTAAAGAAAATGTTTCTCCTTGAGTGTTTCACTTATTACTTAAACACACACACACAATCATACTACATACCTGTCTATATAAATACTACAATTATATTATACAACAAATATATATGATCATTAAATGATGGTAAATTTGAATATTACATAATCGATTTTCTTAGAACACTCAAAAAACTGGGATTTCATTCCTTGCAGAAGGGGTAAACTAGGTGGCCTTTCTGGTGCCGCGTGCACTGTCATTCATATTCTCTCTCACCAGGCAAGAAGAGTGAAGAAGAGAACCTCTTTGAGATCATCACGGCTAGTGAAGTTCATTATTTCTTGCAAGCGGCCACCCCCAAGGAGCGCACCGAGTGGATCAAAGCCATCCAGGTGGCCTCCCGGACTGGGAAGTGAGGATGCACCTGCAGCTCCTCATCACCCTCCTGCAGAAACCCCACGGATAAGCTCAGTCCAGGATCTGTTCAGTTCTGGTGACACATCAGCAAGAGAGGGCCCAGAGATGGGAACTTTTCATCTGTGGGGGTTCTAAATATAACTAACCACATGTCACGCGATGTTCACCTGCACCCCACCACATGGCTCACCGAAGTCTCTCTGCCACTCTCTGTGTCCCCAAAGCAGATATAGCAAGCTATGTGGGGTGGGTAGACTGCTTAATCTCTCCAGACCTCAGATTCCTCTTCTGGGAAATGAAGGGGAAGGTCCTCCTAGCTTAAAACCCCAAAAAAGCCTTGTGATTCTCATACCCACGGTCATCCAGCCGGTGTCCCTTCTTGGCTCAATCTTGGCCTTCAGAACCAGAGACAACTCCTTCCTTTAAAATTGTTCCAGAAAAGAGGCATAAATTCCTTTTTTTCTTTTCCACCTCATCCCCTTGCTCTTGGCCACAAGATTATGTATTAAAACAAAAGAGACCTCTTGTCTTCCTTCCTCCCTCTACCCAGAAACTTCCCCTGAGAGCCAGCAGTGCAGTGGTGACTTTTAGGTTGGAGCCTTCTTTTCTTATTACATACAGCCTGGAAAGGTATTATGTCCTTATTATGTCTTCTGAGAAAAGGACCTGAGGAAGCCAGGAGTAGCTGAGCTCTTTTCCACACCTTCAAGCCACTCAGAGCAGGCGTGTTCTACTCCCACTTCAGGCTGCTCTGAGAAGGGTCTATCTTTGTCCCTTTCGGGAGCATTTCTCTATCATTTATTATAATTAGGATAGGGAACTCCGAATCTTCGAGATTGTTTCATTTGAGTGTTTGCAGACAAAAAAGTGACCATATGGATTCCATTAATGGGTTCATTCCATGGGTAAGGGGCCCGGGCAGCTGCCTGGTTAGTGTGCCCCCATCCCCAGCTCCAGAGGGTGCAGGGGCTGGACCACCAGCAGGCAGTGTGGATGATGGGTTTATACAAAGACAGCACCAAAAGGATCTAAGTCTAGACAGAGCTAGTGGAGGTGGCTGTCAACATTGACCAGCGCTTTCAGTTCTCAGCTAAGGACACTGTGGTTGCACCTGAGCTTTATTAAGCGTAAGCTGTGGCAGTTCCTGCTTGGCCTGGCCATGAGGGGCCCCATGAACCCATTTTCAACCAAAGTAATCTGACCTAGATTCAAACTGAGTACCTGTTTCCAATTTTTGTTCATGTCTACGAACTAGTGAAACTAAGCCAAAACAGAGAGATAAACCAGGGATGTGTGTGAAGGTGTATTTCCCAATTTCAGATTTTTAATTTTACGGCCCCAGTGAGGAAAGGAGAGTAGAAAATTCTTCCTGATTTTATCAGCTCTCTTTCCTCCCCCAATTTCACATGATATCCATGAGGTTCTTCCTACTCCCAGATTGTTTTATCAGTGGCCTACCAGGAAAAGACTGCCTTTTTGTGATTCTGTAGTAAACTGTTTTCTTAGAGCATTCACAGTAGTTTTTCTATTCAGTGTTAAACATATTTATTAATATGGAGTCCACTTTATGTTTTAAATAAACATGACTGTGTTCAGTGTCTTTTTGGTGTGGCAACTCGAATGTTTTGCGTCCCATTAATGACTCTCCTTTGCTGCGACCCACTTGCATTGATTGCAGATAATGCTGCTTCTAGTTTCTCAGGTCATCCCAATGATTCTATGATGATTTTAACAAGGTCAGTCTGTTCCAGAGAATAACAAAAACATGGGGAAAATAAAGATAAATCATAAGCCTGTATCTCTAATTTCAAATTTATGAGACCTTGATTATAATGTTCAGGCAATCAAAACAGTCCATAAATGGCCACTAACTATTACGGATACAGAAAACTATTCACATTGGGGAAAAATAAGCTTCCTACTGGGGGGCTGTTCTGTATGGTTGAGCAGGATGTGCACTGCTCAACTCCAGGAGGCTCTGTTCGCATTGTAGTCTGGGTGACTGTCGCTCCTTGGGATTTTCATTGCACACTCTGCATATTTGTACACAGTGGTGTGCAGAGAATTCACAGTGTTGTTATGACTTCCTAACACAAGCAACTGATGATTCCTGGTGGAGTGAAGGGGTCACTTTTCAAGGTGGGTGTTCAGAGTATACATCTACATGCTATATCTGAACCTCTTTGGCTCGGACCTTCTCAGGCATAGAAACAGGTGAATCCACACGGGTCTGAGCCCCAGAGTGACAGGCACTTCCTTCAGCAATGTGGATGGAGGGAGATGCAAACTGTCAGTTTCGTTTGAAGATCATTCCAAACCAAAAAGAAAGTCGGCTTGGCATTTTACTCAGGATTCCAATTTAGATAGGGGGAAAATAAATGTGGAAGAAGTAAGAAAGTATCTGTAAAGGAGAAAAATATCTTTTTTACATCATGCAGTTAACAGCAAGCCAGGAAAACAAAGCATTCAATCTGAAAAATCTAACACATTTTTGGGAAAAGGAATGGAATGAGGTATTGTAAGGTGAGAATCTTACACACAGATGGAGAATGCAGTACAGATTTAAGGAAGGATGGTAAGTGTCCCTTGCGTGCGTGTGCGTGCACACACACACACACACACACACACGCACGCACGCGTGCACGGCCTGTCCAGAAAGTATCCAGCCACACACTATGAAAAATAGAGCTATTTACTCAAGAAAATACAAGATATAAGAAACATTATACATAGGACAACGATGCCTCAGTCCCCTACAAAGTAGGTACTTGGGACCTTACACTGTTCTCCCAATCACCATCAGTTGCCCCATCATATTTTCCTGAATCTTATTGACAGTCTGAAATCTCTTCCCTTCCAAAGGTGATTTAAGTTTTGGAAAAAAACAGAAGTCTCAGGACACCAAGTCTGGGCTATAGGAGGGTTGGTTGAGTCACCTGGGTGATTTGATGTTTCACCAAAAATCTCTGCATGAGCAGGCACATTATCATAAGGAAGCTGTCAGTCACCAGTTGCCTATAGCTGAGACCTTTTGAATCATCCAAATAGTTTCCATGGAGAAATATCCAAGCTTAATGCAAAATTTGATGCAGATTCATTGTTCTACTCTCTCATTCATTTTGAATACAATGGCCACACAGTACACATGCTCACGCAAAGGGGTCTACCGCCCCCACTGACTAGTACAGTGAAGTCATCATTGTTCACGCATGTGCATTCCAGTCCATTCTCCTTGGCTTACATCGATGTCATGCAAACTGTCCTCATTATATTAATGATGGTTGGACTTTTTACAGACAGACCTTGTATAGTGACTAAAATTCTACCGACAGAGGATGACTTTCAAAAGCAGAATGAGGAACCTGCCTAGGTTAAAACAACAAACTGTTTCCCTAAACAGAGCACCTACATCATTTCCTTTGGATTTTGGGTAAGCCTACGATAAACAAAACCCTTTGTGCTGCCACCTGACGTCAGCCCTCGGGTAAAAAGAAAACTGCAGAAGGAATTAAGATTTTGGGTTCCATTTTGGGTTCTCTGAGCAAGGAGTTTCAAAACTGAGTAGAGTGGATTAGAAAATGTCAGAGAGGACAGAGTGGGAGAAAAAGAAAGAAAGGAGTAGCTTGCTTACAAAAACGTGAAATGATAGTTCTCAGTGATTTTGGCTCAGTTTCAGGGCAGAAGGAAGGTAAAATTTAGATTTCACTGGAGGAGGGAAATGAGGATGGAGGAGAGTGTTTATGATGCAATATTTGCTTTTCCCTTGAAACTTAACTGAGTTGTTTGATGAGTGGGAAATGCAGTGGTTTGGAGCCTGGGACCTGTGTTTGAATGCCACTCTGTGACTTGCTGCATTTGCAACTATAGGAGTATTAACTTCTTTACCCCTAAAATGAAAATAATAATAATGTCCCCCTCATAGGGCTTTTGTTAGTACTACATGAGCTGCCTGTAAATTAGCTGGCATGTTTGAGCACCCATCTAATCCTAATTTCCTTTCTTCTGGCTCTGCCATAGAAGCCACTCATGGGATTCCAGGTTAAATATTTATTGAACATTTATTACATGCCAGCAATGAATTCTATAGTGTCATTTGACATTTGCTTTCCATAAATTATATATATTTCATAGAATTTTTTTGCCCATAAGGTATCAATTTACTCAGTTAAAAATTGCTCTGTCCCAGGTCTTGAAAATATAGTCTTCACAGGCTCTGTGTCAGTGGGGTTCAACTTTTGGTCTCTGTCAGAGTAGCCTGCAAGATTCTTTCACTGAACATAAGCCTATTTCTCTGTTTCAGGGATTCTGATTTCCTAAGTGTGTGGTGGGGCCTCTATGTTGGCACTTCTACTTTTAAAAGTATATGTGGGTAATTTTTATCAACATTAAAGGTAAAAACTACCAATAGACTGCTTGAATCCCCTCTGCCTACAGTTTAGACACTGACGCAATAGCCTAGCATTTGAAGCTCTTTACCAACTGGCCCCCACCTGCCTTTCCTAACCAATTTCCCCTTTGCCCACTGTCCACTCCAGACATACACCCATCTCACTCGTCATTGGCAAGACCATTGCGCTTCTGGAACCTTTGCTTGGATGATCATGTACCCCCAGGGCCTAGAACACTGTCTGCTCCCTGTCTCTGCCTCTCCCATTCTTACTCCTCTTTCAAGGTCCAGCTTAATGCCTTAGCTCCCTCACCCCCTGTAATTCTCTCTATTTCCATGGCAGACTTTATGCCTCTGAATTTCTCTATCATCTATTAGTACTAGGAATTTAGCAATAGTCACCTACTCTGTTGAAGTTATTAACCATGCTTCCTGTTTCAGGGTTTGTGTTCTTTGAGATCAGAAAAGTGTCTGTTTTAGAATTTTTTTCAAATCCCTCCTAACACCTAGTTCAGTACCTGTGCCTACAGGTGCTCTATAAATAGCTGTAGGTCGAGCAGCGTGAACAAAGGAATTGCCAGTCACAAGAAGGAGGCTCCTCATTCACTGACTAGAGCTTTGGGGGAGCATGGCAGCTGTCACAACAAACTTCCTGTATAGAATGGCGGACACCATTCTAAGGGTTTAACAACCCAAGGACATGTATATCATATTATTCCCACTTTCTGGATGAGGAAATTGTGGACAGAGATGTGAAGTGATTTGTCCAAGATCACACAGCTAGGAATTGCCAGTGTTGGGGTTCTAGCCCAGTCTGGCAGGTCCCAGAGTCCCAGAGTACATGCTCTTCACATCCACTTTAAACTTCCCCTTCATAATAAGAGGAGTTTAATGGGCTGACTGTAGATGCTGGGAACTTTGTTATGTACTACATAGACTTTCGCTTAATGTCTGCAACAATCATGTAGGTAGTTTCACCCCCATTTTGCAAATGAAGAAAATGAAGTTAATAAGATTACTCAAGAGCTCTGAGCTGGTAGCCTAAGGAAATTCAAGCCCAGATCTGCCTGGCTTCTAAATCTGCATGTTCAAGTGCTCAGCTCTGTCCTGGATGTGTGTGGCTCTTACCACCATCGGGCTATGTATCTCGTTGCCAAGAGAACGCCCTGCTTACTGCACGAACTATTCATGCACTATCAGTGGCAGCAACATTTCCTGTGAGGCCACAGCCAGCTACAACACAGGGCTCTAGGTTTTTCTTTGTTTAAAGGGAAACCTCTATGTTCAGATACAGTTATGCAAATAGCTCTGCCCTGCTGATATTGGTTTTGAGGCTTCTGAGGAATTTTATTGTCTAACATATGTTCCAAAGCATTTTCCTGACCTGATTAGTGTGTGTGTGTGTGTGTGTGTGTGTGTGTGTGTGTGTGTATCTCCTAACTCTGTTGATTTCACTGTGTGCATGCAACAGGAATAAAATTGCCGTGTGATCAATGGTTATGTTTTGTCAATAATAAGAAAGCAACAACATCATAAAAGAGGAGCGTGTTATTGAAAAAGATATATAGATGGCAAATAAGCACATTAAAAGTCACTATTTTGAATACAGTGGATTGAATAAAAGATATTATTAAAAGTAATTTCACCTAACTGTCTGGATGATATCTAAGGTGAGGATCTTGAAAATATGGAGCAGATCCTACATCCAACCCACAATAAGCAATGTGAGCAAGAAATATATGTGTGCTGTTTTAAGTCACTGGGGTTTAGGGTTGTTTGTTATTGCAGCATGGATACCCTCGCTACCCTGACGGGTCGACACAGAAGAGGAAAGGCAACAGAGGTGAGTTTCCCGGCTATCCTACCCTCTGAATCTCCATCAGTATCAACTTTCCTTCTTTAGATTCTTCATCCTTGTGAGCTACAACCAGACATATCAGAATCTTAAACAATTTGTCTTTGTAAGTGGACTTGGGTCTAGTAGTAATTTGAGAGATGGATGGCAAATCCAGTATCACTGTGTGGACTTTCCATTTTCTGTCAGTGTCTTGACACTCAAGGAAGGTAACTTTCTTACCATCTTATCTTTGGGTTAGTTAATGATGTCAACATAAGGCCGGAAGTCTCACTGTCCCAGTTTGGCCTTTTTTTTTTTTTTTTTTTTTGCTGTTACAGCAAGTGACTTAGAACAGCAGCCCATCCTTTCTGCTATGCCTCCCTTCCTGTTTCCCTTGCTCTCGGGGCCTCTCTATGAAATGCTCACATCAGTGTTTTCCAAGCAAATTATGACCATTACGTGGAGAATATTTGGACTGGAAGGGCAGTGGCAGTCAAGCCTGTTGTCCTGACTCAGGTGACAGATGACAGGGTCACAGCAATGAAGGTGAGGTAGGTGAAAGTACATTTGAATGAAGAGTTGAACAAATATTTACAGAAGGTCCATCATATATCAGGACCTGCACCAGGATGAGAAGTTGCTAAGCTTTATTCTTTGCCCTCAAGGAGCTCCGTTGCTGATATTGTGACACCATGTGACTGCTGAGTGCTATGATACGCAGATAAAGAAGAACTGGGCTGTTTAGTGAAGGCTTCCTAGAGGTGGTGATAACTGAGTAAGCCTTGAAGGATAGATAAGATTTAGCATGCAAAGAGGGTAGGGGACAGATATGAAAGGTGCTTAGGAGGAAAGTCAATAAGAGAGAAAAGAATCTAAGATGATTTCTAGTTTAGCACGTAGTGACCTTGGAAATGGCTATTTCATTGGCAAGTGTAAGAAACAGAAAAAGAACAGCCTCATTAGTGGGAAAGATGATGCATTCAGATAGAAAAATACTCAATGTAAAGTTCTAATTAGGAATCTAGAAGGGACAGTCCAGAAACAGACAAGGATCTAGGACTGAAGCAAAGAAGAAAGATCAAAGTAGAGTTTTATATTTTGGAGTCCTTTGTTTGTCTGTGAGTACTGGGAGTTGTCATAACAGATGAGAATGCCCAGAGAGAAGAAAAGTCCATGTATTCATTTACTCTGGCACTCAATATTTACTGAGAGCTCCTGACGCATTAATTGAGGGAAAGTGAGATCAACCTGGATCAGTGTGTACTCTAAAGGCAAACAGGCAGGTAGACTCCTCCTTTAAGAAACTGGACTGTGCAAGTCAAGAAGTAAATAGCTGATAATTAGATGAGCTAGGAAACCAAGAATACACTTTATAAGGATGAGATAGGCTTTCTGGAGTTGAAAATTTAGTTGAATTGTACCTACACTTGAAAAAAATCTTTTGTCAATGAGAGAAATGTAACTTAAAAATTTCAGTTGGTTGTTGGCATAGCTACTACTGTTGTTAAAATTTTCAGAGGTTTCAATCATATCTACTAATGCTCCTCCTTATTATCTGACTCTTTTGCTCTGCAAATAATGGACTTAGAAGGCTTTATGCTTCAAAATAAATTGATTGGACAAACCTTAACTGGACATCTCCTGAGCTAGGTGTTATGCAGGTGCAGAAAAGTCAAGACCAATCATACCCTCCAGGGCATAGCATCTGTTTATAAAGATCAATGCCAGCGAACTGTATAGATCATCACCATGATGAAATTACACTTCCATTTTTAGAAAATACCCCTAAAAGTAAGAAAGTGAAAATATTGAGGAAAGTCTAGAACTGGCTTGAGCTCTGTTTGTGCTGAAGTAATTAAATAAGTTGATCTTTCCCCTTTTTCTTGTAGGCAATGGAAAATCATTTGTTAAAGGGGCCTGTGTTTGAGTAGCTTAAAAGGAAGTCACTTAAAGGATGGGGAAATCAGTTAGTAGGCTATTGTAGTTTATCTGCATGGGAGGTAATGGGGTGTAGGTAGTAGAAATAAGAATGAACACAACTATTTCAAAGGAAGAATCCACAGATGGTAGTGACTGAATAAGATGGTGAGCAGTAAGTGGACTATGGTATCTTGATCCTCTGAGAAGAGTAGTTCTTTAACAGAAAAAAGAAAGCCATAGAGTGAGGGTGGGTTTGGGACATGAGTTTGAAGGCCAGGTGAGAGAGTAGGGGTCAGGGGTCTGCTTTGATTCATAGGGAAAGAAGTAAAAGCTGAAGTCCTTGGAGATGTGTTTATCAAAGAAGTGTACGTAGAAATAAGAAATTGACACAGCTTTATGTCAGACAACTGGGAAGACCATGGGTGGAGATCAGGAGCAAGAAGAGGAGCCAAGGAAGGAAGATGTATAAAGGACCCATGGACAAAGCCAAAGGGGGGTAGTATTGAGGGCAGGAGGTGGGGGTGGGTGGGGCAGAGGAGAGTGGTGGGAGGCAAATGGAGACAATTGTACTTGAGCAACAATAAAAAAATAAAACAAAAGAAAGAAAGAAAAAGAAAATATATTGCTACAAGGAAAAAAAGATGTGGTCTACATGGGAAGACTCTCAGAAGACTGGGGAGAATTATTTTGCAAGAAAAGGAATGTGGTCAACAGTGTTAAATGCATAGAGATTAAGGAGACTGAAGCCTTGAAACAGCAGCTGGGTTTGGTTATTAAAGCACCGTGGTGACTTTCAAGGGAGCAGTTTCAGAAGGATGGTGAGGAGAAAAGTCCCAGTACAGAAAATATGGTGGGTGTGGTGAAAAGGGGAAGCACTGGTTTTAGACTATTCATTCTGAAGGTTTGTCACAATGAATTGCAGAGGACTGGTTTGTAGCTTTCAGGAGTAACAGGGAAACTCATTCATCTATTTGTTCAATGGGCCCTTATTTAGTAGAGCTCACCAGGTGCTTGTTCGCTGCTGGGTGAATAAGGGAGGCCAGATCCCCATTGTTACGCAGTTTGCATTCCGGTGTGGAGGGACAGTCTGTAGACACAAGGGGATACCATTGGTGGATTGATCTGATTACAATTTTTGAGTTGCCTTTGGCTGCTTGGTGAGGAATGGACTGTGGAGGGCAAGAGGTGAAGTTTAGACCCATGAATAATTCAGGCAAGGGAGAGGGATGGCTTAGACCAAGCTGGCAGCAGCGAAAACAGAGAGCAGGAGTCAGATTTGGAATATGTTTTGGTGGTGGAATCATCAGTTAGGATATGCTAAATGTTGGGGAAAGGGGGAAAGACACGTGAAGGATGACTCTTGGGGTTTTGATCTGAGTGATTAGATAAACAGCAGAACCATTTGCTGCTCCAGGAAGACCGGGGGAGGTACAGATGGAAGGTGTGGAAGGGTGGTAGGGTGGAAGGGGTTTTGTTTTGCTCATGTGTGACATGTTTTGAATCATCCAAGTAGAAGTGGGGTTCAGAGGATTGGTCAGAACCAAGTTGAAGATTTTTCTCTTAATGGACAACAGAGTATTTGCAATAAATTGTAGACTGAGGGTAGGAATGTACTGTTGAGAAGAAACAAGGAAAATGAGGAAGGAGGGTTTAAAGGAAGTGAAGAAGGGCTGGACTCTGGCCCAGACAGAGGCTTGACATGGAAAGCAGAAGGGACACCACTGACGCAAAGACGGAAATAAAGACAGATGTGGAAATAGAATTCTTTAGAGGCTGAGAGGAAGCAAGAGGGTGGAGCTTATGCTGAATGACCTCTGTCATCTGTCTAAATGAGAGATGAAGTCATCTGCTGAGGGGGATTTGAGGGAGAGGAATTGTTAGAAGCTGGAAGAGAGAGGTTAAGGATAAACATTTTAGAGAGTCAGTTGCAAGAAGTGAACATCAATCTCCCTGTGATGCAAGGAGTAAGAAAATTCCTTGTCCTCAGAAGTCCTTAGTGATCCTAAGGCAAGAATGAAAAACCCAGCGGGAATGAGTTGGGCACACAGGCTGAGTGGAGACTCCGGCAGTAGGTAGGCATCTGTTGTTAGACTAGGTTAAGGGCATGTGTTGTATGCGGATGGGCCTGTGCATTGAGTGGGGAGGATGGGCTGGGGTCCTGGTGTGGGCAAAATGCCAGGTGTGTTTGCTGCAGAACAGAGATGTGCTGCTAAAAGTGTGGTTCACAGCCCAGCAGCTGCAGTGTCCCTGGGGGTCTGTTAGAAATACAGAAGCTGGGGTTTTAGGCCGAATCTCTGAGTAGGAGCTTGCATTTTAATTAAACCCCTGGGTGATGTTCTATATATATTAAAAATTTTTTATTGAATTTATTGGGGTGACATTGGTTAATAAAATTGTATAGATTTTAGGTGTATAATTCTACAATATGTCATCTGTATGTTGTTCACCACTCAAGTCTCATTCCATTACCATGTACCCCCCATACCTTTTCCCACCTCCCCTTCCCACTTCCCTCTGGTAATCACCATACTGTTGTAGTAGGTGTCAAAGAGTTTTGCATATTAAAATCTGTAACAAGCTATTCTGGGAAATGAGGTTTTCAAAGGTTAAAACTTAAAAAAAAACATAAAAACTGTATTTCTGCTGAAGATCTGAGGATATTTCTTTTCTTTTTTTTTTAAAGATTTTATTTATTTATTTTTAGAGAGGGAAGGAAGGGAAAGAGAGAGAGAGAGAGAAACATCAATGTGTGGTTGCTAGGGGCCATGGCCTGCAACCCAGGCATGTGACCTGACTGGGAATTGAACCTGCGACACTTTGGTTTGCAGCCCGCACTCAATCCACTGAGCTATGCCAGCCAGGGAGGATATTTCTTATAAACTGGTTTATTTTCATTTTCAATACATTTTTTATGTTTTTATGATTTACAAAAAAGGATGTCCACTTGTCTTGGAAGAGGAAAATACAGGCATGTAGGAGAAAGAAACCAGTGTTCAACTACATTTTCAGGTCTTCTTACAACACTAGAAGGAACAGAACAACTATGAGGGTCTCCCAGAAGTTTAGTTTCTCACAGGGAGTCATGGAGGGAGGCAGCTACCATATTTTGCTGTGTATAATGTGCACCCATGTTTTAGGCCCAAACTTTCAGAAGTCTTTCATTTTAATTTTTAGTTCAATTATTTATTTACTTATATTTAGAAACAAAACCACATCATATTCCAGAGTATTATTTGGCTTATGGATAGCATTGTTGATTCCTAGAGTTATACTTGTAATGCATAAGCATAAATAAAAGAATTAAATACACTTACATAGATACAGAATTAGTATAGACATAGAATAAGAATCAGTGGCATGCACATCCTTATTTTCCCCTAAAAAATTTGGGCAAAATAGTGCTCATTATACACGGCAAACTATGGTACTTCTGGGTAGGTGACCTTCTAAGGAAGTTCTTTGGCCTAGCCTCTGTGGGTATGCAAATAATAGTACATAAGGTTAATGTAAGGATTACATTAAAAATTCATGTAAATGCTTTAAGACAGCTGCTAGCACATGATAAAACCTCAAAAATGTTTTATTATATATTAGGACTGTATCAGGGAGAAAAGTCATTAAGCAGAGCAAACTTTAACATAATGCATGGCAGCTCCTGCTTGGAGGTCTTTGAACTACTTCCGGTATAGACTGTTGTCTTGAAGGTACTCGCCAGCCATGAAAGTTCAGAAGGAGAGCCCTGGAGAACTGAGGAAGCAAGATACATCCTTGATCTGAAGGAGCTGGTCAGGGAGTGTAAGCCAAGGTCTAGGAAAAGGGGAACAAGATGTGGAGAATTTAATGTAGGGAGTTAAAAGAAACAGAGCCAAAGTTCAGAACCAGGGATGGAGAGGAAGATTCTCTTCTCCCACTTTTGGTGTTGTACCTATTACTAAATCCACAGTAGCAATGCAACTGCAATTGCAGTAACATAGTGGCAAATTGAAACGGTGGAAACCAGGAAATAAACGTGTGAGCTGCCCTCCAGTTGGCCCTGACTAGTGGTTAAGCAATACGGAAATCCCCCTTTTCTCCTTGTGTCTTGTCCACAGATCTAAATGAGCACTGGTGAAACACAATGATAAGTGTTCAGCATAACGATGTGTAAGGTTAGGGGCAATGTCTAATTTGCCATGTGGCACATGTACGCTAGAAAGAGCACGTACCTTCTAATGCACTTAGTACGTTAGAAAGTGCCCCTAAACTAAAGGTTCTGCTCGAGCCATAGCAATACTCTGTCTATGCATGAGAGAACAATGAAGAACCCTGGTCTGGCTTCTTTCACAGCCTTTGTCTTCCCTGGGGGGTGAGTGGCGGACAGCAGTTATTTTCGTGGACTGGTAGATTTGTTTGCAAGCGCAAAGATGGAACAATTTAGGTGGGGACAGTTTTAATCATGTACTTGCAATTCTGGGGGAAAATACACATTATCATGTATTGCTTGAGGAGTGACACATGTGATGTTAGAGTTTCCTAGGGTTTAACAAAATAACATCCAATTACAGAATATGTGGCTTGGACCAGTAAGCATTGTTTATTTCAACCTCACCTGACCTGTTTCTGAGGTAGTTCCTTTTTATCCCCATTTTACTGATGAGGACACTGAGGCTCAGAAGGCTGAAGTAAATTGACTAAAGAGTATGTGACTAAAGTAGTAGAGATGGGATAGAAACCTAGGTTTTGTACATTTAACCGATGCTATGTTTTTGCTTTTGCTCCTGATATGCTTCCTGGGTGTGTCATTTAAATCAATTGCTATACTTAGCATCTACTGTAGCAGGAGTTCTCCAGCTTTCTAGGGTTATCCTTTCTTTCAGGATCTAATAAAAATGATTTCAATGCTGTATAATTTTCTGTGAGAAATCTAGAAACCTCACTGATTTTTCCAAAACTTCTAAACGGCAGAGGGAAAGACTTCCTTTCATCCCTCCTCATTCTGAATTCTTCCTCCTCTCTTACTTCTTGTCACCTGTTCCCCTAAACATAAACCAGTTACAGTTCACTCTCTGTATGCAGCCTCCTCCTATACACTCACACAGCTCCTCCTTTTCCCTTCCCCTACACCACTCCTCTGAAGGTGTAACATGCCCACTGGGTTATCTGGAAAGCAGATACTGAGACAGAGTTAGAAATGAAAGAAGCTTATTGGGAAGAGGAGGGGTAATTCCATGAAAGATAGAGGGAGACGGAAGCCAAGCTGGATATGGAAAGCTTTCAGTCTGCAATGAGAATCACAGGGTGGCCCAGAAAGACAGTAGCAAAGGTTTATCTTCCCAATGGGCACAGCTTTGAGGTCTGTGTGGAAGAATAAGTGACTCAAGGTGATAATATATTTGGACTCATGGACAGTGGCCAATGTTCAGACTGTCAGGGTCCTGTGGAAAAAGACTGAAAGATCAAAGACAAGGTCTGAGGTAGCGGCATATGAACATATAGAAGTAGATCTGAAGTGTAAAGATGTCTGTATCATATGTTAATATTCCCCCAAAGCATCCACCCTCCAATTAGTTAGCCAGTCCTTGTCTACAGGCACGGAAGAACCCTAGGCACCACAGAACCACAGGTCGCAGTGGCAGGGATAGGGGTTATACACAGTGCCAACAGCATTCACTTCCACATTCCATGGCTGCTGCAGCTCCTGCCATCTCTGAATGGCCAACCTGTGAGAGACTGAGATCAATGGCAAGCCTCCAGTATGGCGCTATTCTTCAGGAGACCAACCAGCCACTGGTCAAGTTGACTGAAATGGACATCTTCCATATCTTGGAAGGACAAATGATTTAGTCTCATAAAAATAGACATTGATTTGGAGTCTAGATTTCCCTTTTCTGTCCATGGAGTCCACAGCCAGCATCATTATCCAAAAGTTCACACAGTGCCTGATTTGAAGCATAGGGTCCTATACAACATAGCGTTCAACCAGTAGACCCACTTTACAATGACAGTTGTAAGGAAATGAGCCTAAGACCGTGGGATCCATTAGTCATATGACATACTGTGACGCCCGGAAGCTGCTGCAGTGGTAGAATGTTGGAATGGCCTGCTGGAAGAGTAGCTGAAGTGACAGTTCAGAGGCAATACTCTGCAAAGACAGAGAACGTCATCTAGGACGCAGCATATTAACTGAATCAGATCTCTGTGTGACACTCTGAGAACCAGAGGTCAACGCAGGGGTAGCCTCACTTAGCACCATGCCCAATGGCCCATCAGATGACTTCGGGCTACTGGTCCTTGCATATCTGGAGTCTGTCAAGTTAGAGGTCTTCATCCTCAGGGAGCACATTCTTGCAAGGGGACATAGCAAAGTTCCCACTAAACTATATGTTGCAACTGCCACCTGGGCCTTTGAATTCCTTGTGTCTTGGGACCAGCAGTCAAGAAGTGGAGTCAGTGACTTGAAACAGAATTAGGAGTGCAAGGGGCTTATTGGAAGCAATTCTGATAAAAGAAAAAATAGTGGGAGGATTAGGCAGAGAGCACCTCCCACTATGGTCCCAGCTAGGATGATAGCTCTGTCCACATAATGGGACACTCCAGAGCAGAGACAGCCTGTTAGTGGAGTCCCACACTGAGGAGAAAGGGCCAAGCACTAATACTCTGCCACGATTTATTACTTAGGAAAAGGGGGCCTTTAGCTCACAAGCTGAGGTGGATGTGAAAGTGCTAACTAGCCATTCCAGGCTGTTAGCTAACTTCAGCCTACGCATGGTAAGTTTCCTCTTGAAGGGAGGCTTGGATGCACGCCTCCTTTGCAGACACATTGTCGTACGTGATGGACTTCTACCAAAGCTTTATGGCTAATGGAGAGGAATTACACCACAGCATGAGTAAGAAAATAAGTTAAGTTGACATTTAAAACATTTAAAAAAATTTCTTGGCTCTTTCTGTGGAGAGGATGTGTTTGCCCCCCACTCCCCACCCCAGATGGGGTTCTCCCTGTGTCCGGGTAGCTGGCAGTCTGCTCGGGCAGGCTCTGTGTAACTCAACTCTTCCCTCAGCTCCTCCTGATTCCCAGTCCCAGCCCATCTTCTCT